TGGTGAAATCGCCATGGGAGCAATTTTGATTTCAGGGAAGGGTGTTAGACAAGAAAGGCAAGTCGATTGATGAGGTTAAGAATCTTCATCGATCGAGATGGCTCGGACGTGTATTGCGCGTGCTGATCTACGACTGCCTACTTCGACGTGGCATGCTACGGGAAGTTGGATTAAGTTAGAAGAGGATTCAGTGTGGGGACACCAAGCTCTGGCACCAGTTGATGAAGTCTCTCAATGTTGACCGTATGCGGAGAGGTAGACTGCTTGGTTGGGGAGTCCGAGACGACAGGAATGAGGGGTTGAGGAATCTTGGTGACATGGTTAAAATCAGTAACAATGCCACAAATATATTCACTCCCTGACGTTGTCTAAAGCTTGTATGTTCGCACTAAATTGTTTATTCTCTGGCATGATTTCTTCTCCTTGGATATCGGGTTTTTTTTCTATCTTCCTATTCTTTGTGCATTACTGTAGAGTGTAGCAACTTGATTTGATGCACTTTTATACGAGGTTTTACGTTGGTTTTGTCAGTGGGACCATTATATTGCAAGCATTTCTACTAAGCTTTTTTTTTCTTCTAAATTTTTATCTTTTTCGTATCTACTTGACTGATTGACAAAACAACGTAGATTCTTGCGCACTGGTGCATCAGTTCAAGTTGCTACACTTCACTTAAGTACACAAGGAAAAGGAGTGATGTCAAAGTAAATAAAGTAGTTTGAGAGAACAAACAAACTGAAGGTAAAGGTTAGTGTGAGTATTCAAGAAGGGAACACACCTTTCTCATTGTGACCGATTCTCGTCTTTAGATTAATAGTTGGATATCTCGCTAGTCGGTGCCAGGGGTGATGTAGGTTCGCAGATGTCAAAGAGGCCTTCTGTATCCGAGCTGAGATGACGTTCGCAACCAACTCGTTCGGGCTGATGCAACTTCGCAAGTAAGTGAAGTGATCGATACATTCCACCACTTCACCCCGTATTATTAACTAGGACTATTTACAGCAGATGAGTCATACATTTGACAGGTGCGAGTGAATGCCAAACATACTCATATTTTTGCTCGATGTATCCAGAAGACCCTGCATTGCCTCAACATTTTCATGCTGTAGGATACATCGTCTGTGTACTCCAAGTCAGCCACAAAGCTTCCAGGGTGTTGATTAGTCCCTGTGAAGTCGGACGTACCTAATTCCCCTACGGTTGTCAGAAGATTTCTCCTCTTTCTCATGTACTAGGTTTACCAGTGAACTGAACCAGTCCGATGGCACTATCTCTGATTCTCATACACCACCTAGTGACTACGTCACTTTTATCAGCAGTGTCCTAAATCCATCCTTAAAAATTTTTTTATGTATCAAACTGTTAGGTTCTGCTGCTTTGCACCGTGACCCTAGTTGACTACTTTGACGTATGTGTCTGGCATTGCTACTGTTGTAAAGGATTTGTTAGAATAAATTATTCTCTTTAGTTGGATCAATAGGATCTTTCAACTTACAAAGCTTATTTCTAGGTGATTTTAAAGGTTTAAATGCCACTCTATCCCAGCTACCTTATTGCGAATCATACCCAATATCTCTGGGTTACCTTCGTTGTCTGGTAATACTGTAGAGGCTTTGAATTCTCTCTTCACAGTACTGCTGTTCTTTTTTTTAAGGATAATAATTTATGGTATCGAGTATCTGGAGATTTGATGGCTAGCTCTTCGGGTCTTGCAGGTGTAGGGATAGCATTAAGCACTAGGACAGAAAACTCACTATTAGACTGGATCCCAGTTGATAGTCGCCTCTGCGCTATCCGACTGGACGGCACAGTGAGAACTAAAAGGAATAGTGAGACTCACTGTTGTCTCTTTGTAATCTCTGCTTACACACCCAGTGACTGCATTTCGGATGCAGTGAAAGACGAGTTCTACCGTAAACTGTCTAGCCTGCTCTCGAAAGCCGAACGTCCAGACTCACCTGATTGTTGCAGGTGACTTCAATGGACAGGTGGATGGACTGAGTGATACAGAAAGGCACTTAGGTGGGACTTTCGGAATCCCAGCTGAACGTACAGATAACGGTGATCGCCTACTACAACTGTGCTCAGATAATCGCCTATTTTTAGTTAGCACAAACTTCAGACATAAGGAAAGGCACTGTCTGACGTGGTGTCCACCGAGCTCAACTAACTCAGCGATGAACACAGATAGACCACATTGCTATTAGTCATCGTTGGAGAGGATCGGTGGAAGACTGCGCTCATTTTGGAGTGCGTGTCTGGATAGCGACCATGCATTGGCCCGAGTGCATATATGCCTTGGTCTCAATGGACGTAGGAAAAATTTGGCAACAAAACCGCTAAGAGTGCTGCTAGACAACGAAAACCCCAAAGCTGTGTTCAGTGAGAAGTTGGCTAGGCAGTTGTCGGAATAAAAGACTATCACTTATCCAGAATAAGCTTGCTGCTGTTTGCAGTTTGCTGTGAAAGCAGTACTGGAGACTGTAGCAAAGCTTCAAAGAGTGTGTAGAAAGACCCGAAGGGGATATCAGCAGCTTCTTCCGAACTAATGCATGCACGTGAACGCATCCCTGCCTGCAGGCTATGAGCGAGCACAACTTAAAATCATAATGAGAAAAAGTCTACAGAACAACCGCGAACAGTGTTGGGCAGCGAAGGCTAAATAGATGGAAAAGGCAGCGGCTAACGGTAACAATAAAGAGTTATTTAGACTTATTAAGGATACTGGAGGAAAAGGTGAACAACAGTTAGTGAGGTTATAGTGGAGAAGGATGGATCTGCGACTCACTCGCAGAGGCGAAGACTACTAGAAGGGTGAACAGAAAACTTCGAGGAGCAGTTTAACTGGCCTCCAGCCACCATTGCGTTGCCTACTATCCAGTCGGATGCTGAATGGAATCTTGAGATAGGCCACCCAACACTAGGAGAAGTCGAGGAAGCTGTAGGTAACGTGAAACGAGGAAGGGTGGCAGGACCAGACGGACTACCTGCTGAGGTCTACAAGAATGGTGGTAGAGTGGTCTTAGTAAGGTTCACTGGAGTGTTGACCAGTATATGGGAATCAAATATGATCCCCTGTGACTGGTCTAAGTCATTGATTATTCCAGTCTTCAAGAAAGGTGAGAAGTCGTTTTGTGATAACCACAGAGGAATCAGCCTGACGAACATAGTGTCCAAGATCGTAGGTTCTATAATTCTCTGACGCCTGATTGGAGCTCGAGAACAGCAAGCCTGAGAAAACCAGGCAAGCAGGCGGGTTTTAGACTCGACCGTGGGTGTATCGACCAAATATTCACACTGCCTCAGGTCCTAGAACACTGTCATGCTTACCGACACCCGACACTAGCTATATTCCTAAACCTGAAGGCGGTGGCATTCGACTCCGTTGATCGAGAAGTCTTATGTGAATGTCTCTCACTGAAAGGCGTTCCGAGTAAGTACATCACCTTAGTGAAGGCAAGGCTCTCTACTCGAACACTTGTGGGCGTGTTAGAGCCAATGGTAAGATGTCCGTAGAGCTGTACTTGTCAGTCGGTGTGCGTCAAGGGTGCCCACTCCCTTCATTCTTACTCAATTTTATCATAGATATTCTTATGGAGGTCTCCTTTTCATCACCTAACTACACAGAGGTTGACCTAATTGCGGGAGAATTTTCTTCAGACCTAGAACATGCAGATGACATAGTTCTGCTAGGTGAAGACGCTGACAAGATTCAGAGTCTTCTGAATACTTTGAGTTGGAAATTGAGAATGTTTGGGATGCGTTTCTCACCACCATCACCATCACCAAATGGAAATTGTTACTCCAGGATTGGTCTTCAACGGTGCCTCGGCTAACAGTAGGGAGTGTAGTGGTTGAGTGTGTCGACCACTTCACCTTTCTGGGAAGTAGGATCAGCCCTGCCCTGGTGGCTAGCTCAGTGGCCGATGAAATCTCTGCACGGATACAAAAGGCTCGATTGGCTTTTGCCAAATTATGCCACCTATGGTGCCACCGTGATATCTGATTGTCTATTAATTGTCGCATGTACTGGACAACAGTCCAGTCTGTTCTACTGTATGGCTGTGAAACATGGCTATTGAAGGGGGAGGAAATGAGAAGGCTTCAGGTGTTTGACCACCGTCACCGTTACCTTCTAAGCATAGACCGTACTTTGTGGTGTCACCACATGAGGAGTGCAGAAGTTAGGTGTAGAG